TCTAAAATGAGGAGCGTTATCATTTATGTCCAATATTTCTACCTCAATGTTAAACATGCGCACCGGGTTCTCAATTGTAGCGTCTAATCTAATGAAGCAGGAGGTGGTTGTCTTGAGAGGACAAAGAAATTCCCTGTTTATTTTTTCCAAGATAAAAAGCTCCCCAGTATCTCTGTTAATCTCGAGGTACTTTTTGTTGCCCACAACATCCACGCGCATTTTCCTTTTACTCAGACTCCGTACATCTAATCCTAAATCAGTCGCTAAATTTGCAACAACGGATCCTTCATCCATTTCCTCCGGAACGGAATAATGAGTTACAGTGGTTGCGATGTCAATAATAGAAGAAAGACAGAGGAATAGGCCAACTGCAACATACCTCTTCATGGCAAATTTAACACGTTGATGAGCCATTGAATTAATCCTTTTCCAAAACCTTTAAATGAGATTTTAGGCGACGTAAATGAGCGCAATCTCGCTTCACAACCGGACAGCAGAACAACGACTCCTTTCCATTGCAGAAATCTGACAGGAACTAATGTTCCACCTTCCAATGAGCTAAGATAAAAATGGTGACCTCACTAGGGAGCTATGTTCGTGGAGAACAGCGATATTACCGGTTTATTCTGCAATATGATTTCCTGTAGTTGAGATAGAAAGAAAAAATAATTCAATAAGGGATTCATGAATTTAGTTAAACACGTTTAAACCTGGTTTTAGAAATACTATCTTTACATTAATTATCATTTCGGTATTTAGAACAATTGTTGTAAGTTTTTATTTCATAGCCTGACTTGTAATTCTTTTACTTTTCCAAAGAAATACTCGTTACTTTTTAAGAATGTCACCTTTATTTCACCCTTGGGTCAATTGCTTATTTTATTTTATTTTTTTTATTAGATTTTTGTTGCTTTTTTATTCTTTCTAATCTACATTTTGAAAGATTTAATATATCATTTATCTGATAAAATTTGATAGGTCAAATGTGTTATTAAGATGTATTGGTACCAAGTTAATAAATGACATGAGTTATCCGTAAAATGCAATAGACACATTTTATAGTTTTATAAAAATGTTTGTGTCTACAAATTGGTAGTTTCTATATATAACCTATCATACCTATGTAAATCATTCATACCCACATTATATATATATATATTTATATATGTGATATTTATATTATGTGAACTTTTAAAGAGAACCTCAGCGAAACATCTTTTTTTGTAAAATGTTCCATCTTAGGACCTAATCATGCTAGCAAATGTCTGTGTTTTAAAAAATAAAAATTATCACAAAAACAGCCAAACTGGATAAAATTTGTTATTGTCATTTCGAATTCATAATAGCGCTTTCTTTCAAAGCATCTTTAGTTGGGTGCCTTTTATTTTCTTTTTCTTCCTGGCAAGAAGATACATTATCTGTTAAATTACAACTATTATTCATGGAAACAATTAATTTATATTTTATATTATCATTTATTTTTGTCATACCTGGAGAGTAGAAGCTGCTGAGCCACTAGTCTCTGACAG